AGCTGGTGCGTTTTGTGTGCTAGACATATTTTGGCCTGAAATCAAAAATTCTTTGACAAGAAAAAGTGTGAAGAACCACGTGTGTTATCAGAAAACTAGCACTAAAATAATCACTATTATCTTTAGCCCCACGATGGACGCCAAACTGTTTACCTCGAAAAATGTGAGTAACAATTAAAGATAAACTGTGGTTTTAAAGATATGTGATTTATTCTAATACTAGTGATTATACAAGAAATATTAAGCTTAAATAAGAAGAATTGATGAACCAAATCAGTGTTGTTGGAGTAATAGGGGCCTCGAGCTTGATTATCCTAGGGACCTCGAGGTCAGCTAAGAACAATAATAAAGTAAAGACAATAAACCTGAAGAATAATTGTTGAGCACGTTAAACAAGAAAAGCATAGTGGAATGTTCTATTGCAGTGGATGAGATGAGATGTCTTTACAAATGATTGGGGTCCCCTTTACATAGGAAGGGAAAACCCTAATATGGTACATTTTCAATTATGATAAAGAATTCTATTGGTAGAGCTGTATAACGACCTAGTACGGACTTGTACTATTTTGTACAAATCTTATTCTATAATTTACGCCCTGATCCACGTGTCCTTGAGAAATTCTCGCTCTTTCTTGAGTGTATTCGAGATTGTGATGCCCTCGATGTAGGTCGTGCTAGGCCTTCGATCTGCTTCATCGAGGTGTGTGTCCTTCAGCCGGGTTCGACCTCTTTGGGTTGCCCGGACCCGAACTCATAGCCCAATTTAAGACTTCGAAATCGGGCTCCTCGATTTTGACCGTATACAATTGAAAATAATTTAGTTTCAATAGAAATAGCATAATAAGTTTGGGAATAAGTTTGAGCACGTTAAACAAGAAAAGCAAAGTGGAATGTCCTATTGCAGTGGATGAGATTAGATGTCTTTACAAATGATTGGGGTCCCCTTTATATAGGAAGGGAAAACCCTAATATGGTACATTTCCAATTATGATAAAGAATTCTATTGGTACAGTTGTATAACGGTCTAGTACGGACTTGTACTATTTCGTACAAATCTTATTCTATAATTTATGCCCTGATCCACGTGTCCTCGAGAAATTCTCGCTCTTTCTTGAGTGTCTTCGAGATTGTGCTGCCCTCGATGTAGGTCGTGCTAGGCCTTCGATCTGCTTCATCGAGGTGTGTGTCCTTCAGCCGGGTTCGACCTCTTCGAGTTGCCCGGACCCGGACTCATAGCCCAATCTAAGACTTCGAAATCGGGCTCCTTGATTTTGACCGTGTACAATTGGAAATAATTTAGTTTCAATAGATTAGCATAATAAGTTTGGGAATTAGGATTTGAGTTTAATTACTTGTTGGCTTGTAACTGTTTCACAATTTCAAGGCACAAGAAAAAATTTAATGCATTATTATTTTTAAACTTAATATATAAATATATTTATTATATTGTAAATTTATTCGGTAGGGTTCGATAATTTTTCGATTTATTTTCATAAAATAGAAAACTTACCTTAATTATCGGTACGATTATAAATTTATATAAAAATCTATGATTTTATTAAAAAAAATCTAAAAATCGGCTTGCCATGATTCGGTGGATTTTGTTCGTTTTTAAGTATTCGAAAGGTCAATCCCTCCCCTACGACACCAAAAAACTGGGCCGATGTCGAATTCCAATAGGGAACTTTACACCGTATACCCCCTCTAAAGAACTCTTAACATTGTATACTTCAGTTATAAAATTACATGTAGTACACATTAATTAATTACTCCACATATTCAATTAGTCAAAGAACAATAACTACCTAACAAATTTGTCGCCTAAATTAAAGATAATTATATATACGAAGCAAATCCAAAGTCTTACTACATCCATTTAAAACTTGGACATAAAATTAAAGAATAAAAAAATATTATCCATTAAATTAAACAATTTTTTTATGGGAACCTTTGTCCTTATTTTTTTGTACACAAACAAAAATTATACAATAAACTAGTAATTTTATACTATTAAAGTTTGTTAATATTCCAAGTAAAACAATATATAAACAATAAATAAAAATAAAAGTATGTTTGATTTTAATACTGTATTCCAAATTAGAATACTGCGTTATATTTAGTTTGAATACTGTATTCCAGATTAGAATATTGTGGTAATTTCGTTTGAATATTGTATTCCAGATTAGAATATTGTGATATGTTTGATTTTAAATATTATATTCTTTATTAGAATATTATGGTATGATGTTNTCCGATCTATTAATCTATTGTAATTTGTTATGTTTAATTTGGTTTGGATAATATATCCCACATTAAAATATTATGGTATGTTTGGTTTGAATATTGTATTCTATTAGAAAATTGTGGTATATTTAGTTTGAATAATGTATTCCGAATTAGAAAATTATGGCATGTTTGATTTGAATATTGCATTTTTCATTAGAATATTATGGTATATATATTAGTTTGAATACTAGTATGTTCTAATATTTCTTTTAGTTTAGATATTGTATTCCAAATTAAAATATATTTACGTTATTTTAACTTTTCTTTTGTTACATAGATAGAAGAGAAAAACAAAAAAAGATGACACACTTTCATCGATAAATAAATGGTAAAGAGGTATTGTCTTGTACATAACAAATGCTCATTTTCATATTCTTCTGCCTTCTGCATCCCCATGTCATAGAAAAGAATAGAGAGAGTTGTTTATTTAGTGCAAGAGAAATTATTAGGGTTCAAATATTTTTGGTGAAAATTTATAATCCTAATTCCGTGGGATGATAGAGTGTTTTAAGGAATTTATTAAGTTAGAATGAAAGATAATCTAGTCCCTTAAAAGGTGGGATATGTTTAATGGCATATAATCACATTAAAGATTTACGAAGTAATAAAGTTTTATAAAGTAGGCATACAATATAAAATAAATATTTTAAAAGTATAGTGGTGTTTTGAATAGGTAGATCATGTAGATTATCCATTCCAAACCAGCTAGAGCTTCCCCACATCGACACCGATGTTTCTCCAATCACACTTCAGCATCCAAAAAAAGAAAAAGAAGATAAATTTGTCAAGGAGGATAGACGCCAGACTTGACAGGTCTCATATACCAATCTCCAAAGTTTCCTTCAACCATCATTGTAATTGAGCTTTCCTTTGCTGGAAAATTTGGAAACCCAAAGATGAGCTGGTGGTGGTCTGGAGCTATAGGCGCTGCCAAGGTAATTACATTAACTTCTCTCTACATCTCCCCACTTCATCTACTGCAGCAATTCTTTATCTAACTACGTACTAATATATTCTTAATCCTCCAGAAAAAAATCGAACAAGATGATGCCCCGGTACAGAAGTATCAAAGCGTTGCACTAATCATCGGAGTCACCGGCATCGTCGGCAACAGCCTCGCCGAGATCCTCCCTCTCTCCGACACCCCCGGCGGTCCTTGGAAGGTCTACGGCGTCGCTCGCCGTCCTAGACCGTCCTGGAACGCCGACCACCCTATTGAGTACATCCAATGCGACATCTCAAACCCTGAAGATACGCAATCCAAACTCACTCTCCTCGCTGACGTCACTCACGTTTTCTATGTGACTTGGGCCAGTCGATACACAGAGATCGAAAACTGTGAAACCAATGGGGAAATGTTTAAAAATGTGCTGAATGCTATTATCCCCAATTGCCCCAATTTGTCTCACATCTGTTTACAAACGGGTCGAAAACACTATCACGGCCCGTTCGAATTGTTCGGAGAAGTAGGACATGATACCCCACATCACGAGGGTTTGCCCCGTTTATCCGTACCCAATTTCTACTACACTCTTGAGGATATTTTATTTGAGGAGGTGAAAAAGAAAGAAAAATTAACATGGTCAGTTCATAGGCCCGGGTTGATATTTGGGTTTTCACCCTATAGTTTAATGAATATTATTGCAAGTCTGTGTGTTTATGCAGCTATATGTAAACATGAGGGGTTGAAATTGAAATTTCCAGGAGTTAAATCAGCGTGGGACGGGTACTCGGACTGTTCAGATGCGGATTTAGTTGCAGAGCATCAAATATGGGCGTCAGTGGATCCTAATGCAAAGAATGAGGCATTTGATGTAAGCAATGGGGATGTGTTTAAGTGGAAGCATTTGTGGGGGATATTAGCTGAGGAATTTGAAGTGGAAGCTGAAGAATTTGATGAAAAGAAGAAGAGATGGAGATTGGAGGAGATGATGAAGGATAAAGGAGAAATTTGGGATGAGATTGTGAAGGAGAATGGATTGGTGCCTAATAAATTAGAGCAAGTTGGAGGTTGGTGGTTTGTTGATATTGTTCTTAGTGGAGAGTGTCCTTTGGATACTATGAACAAGAGTAAAGAATATGGCTTTTTGGGTTTTAGGAACTCCAAAAAAGCCTTCATTTCATGGATTGATAAGGTGAAAGCCTACAAAATTGTTCCGTAATTAGTTTGATTGGTGAAGTTTTCTTTACTACTCATATAAGTTAAAAGTTGTGGGATATATAGCTAAGTGGAAATCAGGTGGGGGAAAGTGTATTTTAAGCTTGTCTTGTTGATAAACAGAAAAGAAAATAAATGCAAAACCAGCCATTCATGATGCTTGTATACTTGAAAAGGATTTATTAGATTAACTAGTGAAATTTTCTGGTTATAAGAAATATCACTAAATTAAAAATAAAAAAATAACGACATATAGTGGATGAGAGAGAGAATTTTTTAAAATTCATATGGATATAAAAGATAATTCTGCATATTGATAAATCATATACTTAGCATTTTAATTAGAAATAAATTTTAGGTAACTGCATTTTTTTCTGATTTTTTTTTAAAATGAAAAAAAGAAAAAGAGAAAGGATTTTTAAGAAAAAAAATTCACTTACATATATTATAATTAATGAGGAGGAAGTGAGAGGTTAATACACGATTCTTTAAGTACAATTATATGTTAGAGGCATGTAAATAGATATTTTTTTTCATTAGATAGTAAAAGATCGGCTTTGCTACAATTTCTCCTCTTCAAATAAAAGAAATATGAAATAAAAGTAAAGAAACTAATAACGAAAAGAAAACAAAATAAATATGTGAAAATTGCAGCGTATTCTTTTTTATATTCCTTCTCGTTATGCGCCCTTCTTAGCCTTCGTCTTTGCCTTTTCTTTTATATTCATTAGTTTCCCTCTCATACATATTCTCCATTTTAAGGAGAATAGAGTACTTCACTTCAGAATACTTGCTCAATTATTTGTATCCTATCTGCAAAATAAAAAAAAATTTATCTTACAAATAATAGGCAATTCAAAGAAGAAAATTAAAACATAACATATAATTATCACAATACTTCAAAAAGAATCAAAAGTTACAAAGTAACCAAATACTTTATATTATTTTGTCGTACATATAATACATGATACAATCATACGAATAAAATGAAAGATAATTTACTACTTACTTTATAAAAGTCACAAGTAGAAATGAAGTGATGAATCCGTCTTTCATGATCTTTTATGTGCTTTGATTTGATGCTCAATGTTTGTCCTGCAAAAAAAAACTATAAGGATAAAGTTAAACCTTTAATAATATAATAATATAATTTTTGATAAAGGGAGGCTTCTCCTATGTCATGTCAAATTTGCATCGATAAAAGAGATTTATCCTCTCCTATAAAGAATAAAAAATAATTCTTTCGTAAAATCTTGTCTAATACTAATATCTAATCAAAGAAAGGTTATACAAACCAAGAAATACAAAATTTCACTTGGTGGAAGTTATGTGCTCCATAAAGATAAGGGATTGATACACTTCTCCATGTATTCAACAGAAAAGCAATCTGCTTCTCGTTTAATAGACGCAAATAAGATCTCTTTTTGATAGAGAATTACAAATGAAGGAACAGAATTTGAGGAATGGACAGAATTGAAAGAGGAATAAAAAGTAGGAAAATATATGGAATTCAGAATAGCAGAATATGTTATGTTTTCATAAACGTGAAGTACATGTAATCTTCTAGTTTGGGTGTCTTCCTCTCTTCACTGTATGGCCAAATAAGTCAGTTGAAAATGAATTTATTGGATCATTGTGATGCATTAACTGCTTTTGATAAATTGGAAGAATGAATAAGATGTAACGGATGAAAAAACAAAGGAGAAGACGTAATTGCGAGGCGACTATTAAGGAAATTCAGTGTACTAACTTTTCAAAAATAGATGACTGTTGAACATTTGCTTTTTAAAATTGATGACTATTCAACATTTTTCTAAAAGGTGTCTAAGAAGAAAAAGGCAAAATTCTTAGAAAATAGATAAATAGAAAACTTGGCAAATGAGAGTGCCACATCAGCACTTATGGTCCTAGCTAAACGCCTTTTTAGTTCTCCATTATTATAAATAACAATTTTGTTGATAATTATGATGAATTAAATTGCCTAAGAAATGGAAGAAACGTTACAATTAAGTATAATTGTATTATATTTAATAGTATAAAGTTCATTGAAAAGGAAAAGGATTTTTGGGCAAATTTTTTTTCAAAAAAACAGGAAAAAAGATAAATAGCAATCCTCATCTATGAAAGATGCCACATCAGCTTTCTTATTCCCAACTTTATATATAGATATTGACAGAGCCGGAGCCAGGATTTCAAGCTTATGGGTTCGGGATTCTAATCGTTTTAAGTTATTCGGTTCTAACTTAATAATTTATACATATTCAATGAAATTTTTAAGACAAATACAAGGTTCGAACCAAAGCTACTGGGTTCGGCCGAACCCGCTGACGTCACTCTAGCTCCGCCTCTGGATATAGATAAACTATACCTACAGCGGCTACATGAGGGCTGAGGGATACTTTACATAATTTAGCTTAGTACAACTTTTATACTCCTTTCTCAAGTATTTAAACTTTTAAGTTTAGTGCTCTATTACTGTGTTAACACTTAAACACCGAAGAAAATATCAAAATTTTGTAGAAGCCAAGTGGAAGGAAAGATTTAAAGAGAATATAATTAAAGAGATAAGACAAGTCAAGCAAGAACCATTTTCCATTTGATGAACAATTGACAGCTGAATTTCTCACGCCCAATTGGAAGAGAAAACAGTATACGGAATAATATAAAGTGAAAGGTAAATATTAGTATATTAGAAGTATTCAATTTGCCAATTATCATATACAGAAAGTGAAAGGTAGATATTTTATACTTGTGATCAATTGCCATATTCAAAAAATTTCGCCTATTTATGTTATAAGTATTCAATTTGTCAACTAGATGAACAAGTTACTTGAAATTTTTGCCCAATAGCCTAGAGAAATTTCCAAATCGTTTTCACCCAAATTCCATTCGTTATGGAAACTGATTATCACACAATACTACCCATTATTCACTTAGACGTCAGGTGTGTTGATATGCAGTCAGTTATACTGATCTCACTTATTCACTCTATTTTATTTTTTTAACTTTTTCTATAAAGTGGTATTCGGGCTGCTATCTCTGCCGGCATATGTAAGGCTTAGACAGATGTGAAGGAATTACCTATAATTTTGTCTCTACGAAATACTCTGTCATAACACATATTCAAAAACATTAATATAGGTGTAAACTTAACCATAGCAATTCAAGAGTGGTACCATTACGTGAATGACATATAAGTAGCCAAATAACATTTTAACACCAGTCAAAGTCACATCTAACATAAGGACCGGAGAAAGGGAAAATTACAAAGCAAAAAAATCAGACACGTTCTAGTTTACATAACCACAAACTAGTCCCTCAGAGAAATTAATGTGGTTAAAGTCATGCTATAGTATGAAAAGAAAAATACTGGTGCTACGGCATTGAAAAAGATATGTATCTTTCAGATGGGTTGCTCAGCACCCTCCTCCTACAACCTTAAACTCATGAGTTCGAGTCATCGAACAAACAATAACTCCAACAAATTATAAGGGAATTAAAAAGTCAAGGGTTTAATATGTTTTTAATTTCCTCAGGGCATCATTTTCAAATTAAAACCAACTTTTGCACGCAATATGCTATAGATTTAGAGATAATATAACCACTTATGAGTTATGAACCGAACATTTTGAAAGACTATAAAATAATCTTGGTAATGATTACTGTATACTTGGTAAAGAAAACAAAAACTTTATTCACATTCAATGTCTATACTAACTCATGATCATATTTTGCTACACGTAGGTGAGGTAAAAATATGAGTATATATTAAAATACTAATCTATAAGTCAGTCTGAATAAGTTTCTCTCTTTCTGCATCCATGTGGTACTCGATATCAATAGAGTTTAGGTGCTTGTAATTTTTGCAAATTAATTCTGACAAAAACTTAACTGAAATATGTCACCTTTCTTCTTTCTTTTTAATTATAATCCCCAAGGGAATTAGAATAACAATTGCTCTTGATGAGGAAAGGAAGAAACACTAAAAAAATAAAATAAGGAAGGGTTCTCTTCTTTTTCTTCCCTACAGCATTTAGATGAAAATTTTCCAAATCGATTTACATTCTTGCTCTCTTTCTTCGATCCATCCACATATACCTTTTAACTCCAGTCAAAGTCACATGTAACACGTGGACTCGAGAAAGGGAAAATTACAAAGAAAAAAAGAAAATCAGACACGTCCTCGTTTACATACCACAAACTAGTCCCTCAAGTCATGCTATCCTATGAAAAGAAAATTGCTGGTGGTACGGTACTGAAAAAGATGCATGTGTCTTTCAGGTTAGAGTCAAGGGTTTCATATGTTTTAACTTCCTCAGCGTATCATTTGCAAAAACCAACTTCTGCATGCAATATATAGATAAATTAGTAGATAATATAACCACTTATGAACCAAAATATATCTTGGTAATGATTATTGTATACTTGGTAACCAAAATGAAAACTTTATTTACATTCGATGTTTATACTAGTTCATGATAATTTGTTACATAGATGATGAATTGAGGTGGGAATATACACTAATCTATAGGTAAGTCCAAGTGGTTTGGACATAAGAATTGTAAAATTTTTGAAAAAAGCGAATCTTTTTTCAAGTGATTTGAAAATTAGAGTTGTGTTTGGACATGAATTTAATTTTGGATTGTTTTTTGAATTTTTGTGAATGACTAAAGTGAAAATTTTGAAAAATAACTTTTTGGAGTTTTTCAAATTTTCGAAAAATTCCAAAATTTATTTTCATGTGAAAATCGAAAAATTCATACCTAAAATACTAATTTCGAAAAAAAAAAAACTTTTTTTATGGCCAAACGGGCCCCTAGATAAGTTTCTTTTCTTGTGCAACCATGTGGTCGCTATATTTAAACTTTTAATATAGGCGAAATACATAAACAACCCCTTTAAGTTGTCCACAACGATCAATTGAACACTTTAACTTGGCATCTGACCAGATAGACACTTTTATTTGACACAGGTGTGTCTCGTGAACACCCCAATCAACAAGTCTCATGCGTGAGTTACACTTGTTGATGACATGTCAAACTGACAAATTATCAAATGACACGTGTATTTCTTAAACAAATTATAGTTTATATTAAAAAATAGTTATAATTTTAATTAAAAAAGAAGAAAAAGACCCTGCTTTTTCACCTCCCAACCAAAACCATCACTTAAGCCACAGTAACATGGACGCTGCTCCTTTTCACCACTGTAACACAATCAAAAATATGACAAAAGCTCTCACCTTTAACCACTATTTCTCTCAAACGTTCAATTTCTCCTTCCCAAACATTCCCTCTCTATTGCAGGCGCAATCGCTGCTTTACTCCATTAAAAGTCGTTGTTCGCTTTGCTTCCATTACTGCGCTTCCCAAATTCCGTTGCTGCTCTTCCATTGGTTTGGTTCCTCTATTTGGTCGCATATCAATCTTTCAGCCATCGCCCGTCAAAGATCCCTTCACTATTTTTTTTCTTCTTTCTCAAAATTAAATCACAAGTCGTCTCAACCCACTTGATTGATATACTTTTACCAGCAAAAAACCACTGTTAAATCCAAATTGTGGTGAAATCCGAAGGATTTGGATGGTTTTTTTTCTTTCCAGATATGGGGAAGGGAGATTGAAGAAAGTATTAGTGGTTATGTGGTGATGATAATAGTGGGATTTTTTTAATTTTTAGATTTGCTTAATAGCGGATAGTGATTATGATGGTAATGGAAGTTGTGTCTTTAATGTATTTTTTCTATCATTGAGGGAAAATATTGGAGTAAGTTTAGGGCAAAGGACGACCGAAGATGTGGAGGAAAAATTGGAGAAGGAGAAGATCTAAGAATTAGGTGGGGTCCATTTTAATTTATTGAAAAAAAGATAAATCTAATATTTAAGATCTTCAAGCGCTTAAATCTGAGTGTAACAGACAAAATTTGCCATGTCAGCGTAAGGGGTTTAAGAGAATATACTTGTACCAAGCAGAGGTGTCTATCTGGTCAGATGCCAAGTTAAGGTGTTCAATTGATCGTTGTGGAAAACTTAAAGGGGCCATTTACGTATTTCGCCTTTAATATATATCACTTTATGTTTTATATTTTAATTAAATAAAAATAAAAAATTAATTAAATTATTATATAATAAAAATTTAAAATATCTCCTTTGATAAATAATAATAATTGTAAATTAATCTTATTGTCTTTTTTGTTTGTTTGTAGTTTGACACTTAAAAGTACTTTTTGTAAAGAGTGGTAAATACAACTTACTTATCAAATATTACAAAAAGCAATTTTCAAACGAATTGGTCAAACACACATTACTATTCTCTAAAAATATTTTTCCAAAGTACGCTTTTGAAAAAAAATACTTTTTAAAATAAGTAACTTTTGGTAGCTTGGCCAAACATTTTCTAAGTTTTCATGTTACTTTTTCTTTCACCTTCAAAATAATTGGCACTACTTACTAAACAAAGGCTACCAAGTGAAACTTCTTTAAATATCCCTGTATATGGTAAAAACCAGGTCTCACTGGCGGAAATTCCGGAACGGATCAAATCAAGAACGATTATTTAGCCCATCATGGGATTTACTTCTGTAATTAGAATTGTACCATAAATAAGATTCCTCTACTATATAAA